GAATTTCAATTCCATCTGTCGCCCACCAGTGGCCGAGCGGTAAAGTCGCTGAACACTTGTAGTACGGTTCGAATCTTGCGAATGGGCTGGCTGCATGGGCCTTTTCATGGTTTTCCCCATGTGTAACGTGTATACAAAACCGTTTCCCTTAGAAATTCCTCCACGAAGGCATCCCTCCCCTTAGGCAGATAGCCCTAGTGTGCTTTGCTATTATTAAATAAACCAAACCAAACCAATTCAATCTGTCATCTGTAAGACACACAGATGATGCAGTAAGTGTGGACTCGTGGTTTCGTGAAATGGCATAGAAAATTCTCGTGTGCTTTTTTATAAACCATACGGACAGTTAAGTGACATATTTCCCTTGAAGATTTTATTCTTATAATTATGAATGAAGCTCAGTATTACATGTTAGAAAAGTTGGTTAAGGACTGCGTTTGTGTTGATGGAACCCATGGTTTATACAGTCAAAAGTCGTTAATTCGGACACCCATAATCCGGAATGATCTATAATGTGGACCTCAAATCTACATCTGCGCATGCGCAGAAAGTTATTATGGTGATAATAACTTTGATAATGACGCTCGTCATTATCATTCGCTTCCGATAGCGAAGAAAGTGACAGATGTTATTGAAAGCGAAAAAAATTCGATTGACAAATTAGTCGGTATTCTCGACACAGCAATTATAGGACTTGAACAGCGGAACTTAGTAACTGAACAAGAAATTATGTCTGTTTATAGAATTAAAGAGAATGTATTATCACATAAAAAACGAAGCATCTTAAACAACTTACATTGAAAGAAATGTTTAATAAAGTAAACAAATGAATATTAAACTTTTTTTTTTGTGTGTGTGTGTGTGTGTAAATTTTGATACCCTTTAGATCATAATTGTTCTTTATTTCATAAATTATGGTTTCATATTTTTAATTTTATAATTTCTGCATTCCATCTTACCAGATTTAAACTGATAATCTATAATCCGGAATCGCCGAAGTCCCGACTTTAACGACTTTTGAGTGTATAACAATGGGTTCGAACTTATCAATCACACTGTTGGTCCTCGATAACCTTCGTCAGGGGTTACCATGTGTTTTCTGCATATGTAGCAGAAACAATCAAACAGTAATGGCACTGGTTTTTTTTTTTTTTTTTTTTTTTTCCGTATTCAAAAAAACATGTGGAAACATTCATTCAAAATGCATGTGGAAACATTCAGCTTGACATATTTACATCAGACATTGCCAATAATTTTCTTAACGGGTGGTGCCAAACCATATGCCAGCTCCAAAAAATAGGTTTTCTGTAGCTGGCATGTGGATAGAGCATGACGAATACATTTAAAAAGAAAGTAACTAGTAAAGAAAAAGAACTGAAGGTTTATAAAATACTGCAAACTTTATTAGAAGAGTGGGATATTTCGGCATTTGAAAATATGTTACAAACAGCAACCAAAATATTACTAAATGATAATTCAGAAGTCAAACAACAAAAATCGGTGTTATATTTAATAAATTTTACTGTGAAAATTTTGTAAATATAACGCTGATTTTTGTTGTTTGACTTCTGAATCAGTATTTATTCGGCGTGTTATTGTGTCTTAATTACTAAATGACTCTGATACAGATGCCTTTGGGCAGTATTTCATGAGTCTATGCAAGAAATGCCACAGCATGGGCATATTACACTGTGTGCATCAACATAATCATGCATCTAGAAAGGATGCACAAGACTATAAAGTATCTCTACCTTAATGGAAAAAATAGTTAAACAACTCCACAAGTCTATAACAATACTAATGAATTTTATCAAAGATAAATTGATCGATAAATAATAATTATTCTGAACAAGGGTAAACTGTGCAGCAAGTTACAAAATCTACGCAAACAACACAAGGTAATCCTAACTGAATTGTATTCAGATTAGATTAGATTATTCAATTATGGCAAAGCACACGAGGGCTATCTGCCTAAAGGGAGGGATGCCTTTGTGGAGGACTTTCTAAGGGAAACTAGCTCGTATACACGTTACACATGGGGAAAACCACGAAAACGCCCATGCAGCCAGCCCGTTCGCGGGATTCGAACCTCAGATCGAACTACCAGTGTTGAGCGTCTTTACCGCTCGGCCACTGGTGGGCCCATTCAGTTATTCAGAATGAAAGAGATTGGGAAGTTTTATCAAGTAATTGTTCTAAAATCTATCTGGTCGAGCAAAACATTTAATGTTTGTACTTGCCAACTTACTTGTACTGAATCCAATGTGTGTATTCACAAATATACTTGTACATGTGTGGATGCTAGTATAAAATGGAATATGTGCAAGCATATCCATTCTGTATGTCAGTACAGAAAAAATAATAAAAAAAAAAAAGTGTGATGACCATAATGATTCAATAGGTGATTTGTGTATTGATAATGATGATGGCAAACCTACCGAGCAGGATATAATTTCATCAGAATTAGGGAAAAATGCACCTAGCACTTTCAAACCTCTGATGGAAAAAGTTCAGAATATGAATGTAAACATTTTATCTATGACATGTTCGATAAAAACTTATGCTGAGTATGGCACAATAAAAAGATTGGTTAACACAACACAACCGACACTGGATGCAGTCCCTGCCCAGAATGACAGCTTTTCTGAACTTGAAACTGCTGGTTCTTCTAACAAAAACATTATATCGCAAGATGTGACAAAGAAGAAAAAAAAAACTGATGTGCCCTAGAGGCATTCATTTTCTATAAAACAGGGAGAAAGAAAAAAAATGCACAAACTTGTGTAAACCCACAAAGGAAGAATTACAAATCACTGCCTTACAGTTACTAAATGTTGGAGAGTCAAATCATAACACAGATACAAGGCCAGTCTCACAGCAACACAATCTAGAAGACTAAACTCTTGATACTAGGCTAGTAATATATTATTTATGCTTACAGGTAATTTTTGAATACCCAGTAGCTTCCATTATAGATTTATGGCCAAAAATTCCTTGCATTAATATGTAATTCCAATTTTTGTAATAACTCATAATAAATATTACAAAAGAAATAAAAGTCAATATCAAGACATTTCATCACTGTATATTATTTTAAATTACTAATTCTTAATATTTTGACTGCTGTGTGCATGGTTTGGCCATGGCACCAAGATGATTTTTTTATTATGCAATGTATATTGTGTTGAAATATTGCCTACAGAAGATGTTGTATAATCATGTTTAATGCATTTTTTATAGTCAATATCACCGGTGATCCCCGAGGTGTTGTAGACCATTACTGCAATTTATTATTCTTGAAATCATTACAGTAACTATGGTATTATTTAAAAATTTATCAGTATCAATATTTACTCTAATTATATATTTTTACTATTGGTTGTATCACTGGTGGTCCCCAAGGTGCTGTAATCAAGTTGAATGCCGGCTACTGGTTACCCCCACAGCAATCAACCCAGTTCTTTAAATACAATATAATCATTTTAATTTTATTATAATAATTATTAAAGGTCATAAATGTTAAAAAGAAATTAAAAAAATAAGAATAAACATTGGATTTGCTGAGAAGCTTACTGCGGTGAAATTTTAGATGAATTCTGAAGGTAATATATTGCAAAGGATAAAATCATATCTACATTCCTGACATAACTAAGTTGAATTTCTAAATTTTCTAATTAATTATGTTAAGCTCTCAAGAATTATTTGCCAAGATCTTTTATGATACATGTAAATATGAAACAAAAAAATTTTTAAAATGAGGTTAAATTAATTGATTATATCAAAGTACTGAAGAGTTATTTGCTTAGGATGAGACATGCCTTTAAGGAAAGCATGAATTTTAAAAAAAAAAAAAAAATATGATAATGGTAAATATAAGATGAAATATCAAACAAAAATGCATTTGGAATTAAATGTAAAATACAGTTAACTGATTATTGCATGTTACGAAAACCTACAACATTAATTTAAGCAACTCAAAAACATCAACATGAGCAAAAAAAAGATAATGGCTATTTCTCTATATGCTTTTCAAGTCCCCAGTAAATAAATTCTCATATATTTGAGCACAAAGCTCACCCCGTATGCTTTTTTAAGCACCTAGCAAATAATTGCTCGCATAATTAGGCGCAAAGTGACCTAATCTTGCACATTCCGCAACGCTTCACTAACGAAACGCAGAAATCTGAATTCATCACCAAGCCAGACATACATAGATGTTTTTCGGCCAAGCGACGAAGGTTACCATGCTGAAAATATGCCTATTGCGCATGTGTGAAGCAACTTCAATGCTAGGGCAAGATGCTACTTTTTTTTCCACATCTCCTGGTTTTTAATTTTTAGCCTTTTCTGAGAAAACTGTTTTTCAGCAGTTGGGCACAGCAGCATAGTATACACAAAACTAATGTGTACGGACGAAGTAAGAACAAAACAACAAACAGTTGCAATTTGCATTTTAATGTGTGAGCATGATTACATATGTTCATGTGTAATCATGCTCACATGATTGGTGTAATCATGCTCACATGATCATGTGTAATCATGATCACTCATGTGATCATGCGAGTGATCATGTGTAATCATGCTCACATGATGACACATGTGTGAGCATGTTACATATGTTCATTCAATTTGCATTTTAATGTGTGAGCATGATTACATATATTTGGTTCTATTTTTTTGTAATTTAAAAAGTATTTATTTATTTATTTAAATTTAGAACTCTAGTATGCTTGCTAGAATATCATTTTAAACTGTTTAAAAAAGGTATGATTTGTAACAAGTAACTTCTAGACTTTGGTGTTTGAATTTGAGGCAGATATTTTGTGTAAATGCACTTATTTAATTTAGATTTGTCTGAAAGTGAATCTGTTATCTCTTTTGATAGCCATTGATTTAACGTGCGAGATTTTGATATGTTATTTAAGCCTATATTTGTCTTGTTTATTCATTTCAACTTGAAATTTTCTATTGTGAAAATATAGTATATTTTATTGAAATAGTTCCATGCCATGGACATTTTACACAAGCATAATTACGATATCACCAGTGCAATTTCATCACTAGTCCCATCAGGTGGTCCTGTTTTATGTCGGGATGAAATGGAAGAATGGTCTGCATCAGAAGCAAATCTTTTTGAAGAAGCTCTTGAAAAATATGGCAAAGATTTTATTGATGTTAGGCAAGATTTTGTAAGTCTGAATTATTTGTGTGTTTTATAAATAGAATTATCCCATGAAGAAGTGCATTAGTTGAATAATGCAATATTTTATTGGTTTGAGTATCATTTTTTTAAAAATATTTCTTGGTCATTGTAATAATACAAAATGCATGATTTAAAGTGCTTTTATATTCTTTTATACAATGTCATAAAATTGTGGAAATGTACGCTTCCCCCCCCTTCATAAATACCAGTTATTGACCAATATTTCAATAAATTATCTTTATTTTTAAATGCAAAACTAAAAAAAAAATTACTTAAAAATTAATTAATTTAAATGAGTATTTTTAAGTATTTAAAGAAATTGTGCAAAATTTGTATTGAGAAGAACTAGTGCAGGAAAATATTTTATCATATTTAATGTTTTTAAGTTTTACAAGGGCTGTAAATTAAGTAATGGCTATATAGGAATAAATCAATTTTTAATGAACTTACAAGTACAATTGCATTACATCCCTTCTATGTAATCACCAGCAAAGCTTATAACCTTTTGCCGAATGTCGGCAAGCCGTTGTAGACCAGTGGCAAGGTGTTGATTGTTGATGTGAGCGACCGAGCGCCCTACTGCATGGAATACATATGAAACGTCATGAAATCGGTGACCTTGGAGGAGTTCCTTCAACTTTGGAAACAGATCGATGTCACAAGGACTCGTGTCGGATGAGTAGGGAGGGTGTTCCAGGATTTCCCACTGCCACTGTCGCAAAAGGAGAGTGACATTGCTTGCGACATGGCAATGAGCATTGTCATGCAATACGGTAGGGAGATTGCTGTGCAATAAACGTGAATATTTGCACCGCATAGCCAGACGCAGATGGTGCTGTAGAAATCGGCGATACTAGTCTGCATTGACAGTTTGTCCTTCAGGTACAGCATGTATAAGAATCACACCGTCCCAGTCGTGTGCCATAATCAGTATAACCTTCACCTGACTGGGTTCCTGTCGAAATTTCTGTGGACGTGGCGAACCTCGGTGACGCCATTTATTAGATTGACGCTTTAATTCAGGTTCATAGGCTCGTGCCCATGTCTCATCAATGGCGACAATACGCTCTGGAAATGCATCTCCTTCATTGCGGTATCCCTCCAAGCGAGTGCCAGCCAGTGCATACCGGTGCCATTTCTGTACTTTGGTTAGTCGAAGTGGAACCCAGCGGAAAGCAATTTTCCTCATGTTGAGAGATTTCTTCATTATGCGCCAAACCGTTTGATGACTCGGACCAACTTCTAAGGATAATTCTCAGACAGTCCATCGGTGGTCTATGGTAAAGGAGACCACTCAGGATGTCAATCTGCTCTTGAGGAATAGAGCGCTGACCTGTGCATTGCGAATCCACAGTCTCATTCCGACCCAAACGAAATGCTTGAACCCATTGTGCTACTGTCCTATACGGTAAAGCATTTGTGCCACAGGCTTCCACTAATCTCGATAACATTCTGTTGCATTTTTGCCACGGGCAACCTCGATTTTAAGCCAGGACTGCTGATCACCTCTTGAAAACATGCTTTAGAGCGATGGAAACGAAACTCCTCACTTTAATGCCACACAACAACTACCCTTCTAAGCAGATCGACAGTTTTTTGCACTCCACGCATCGACAGTACAGTCACCTCACCAACTCCCAAGACTGGCATGCCTTGATGCAGTGTCTTGCTATGACAACTGATTGCTGAACAAAATATGAAAAAGCAAATGATGCTGGATGTTTTCTAGACCCGGGGGGGAGGGGGGTTGATGTCGAATGGGGAAAAAATTTCCTTATAACAAACAGAACTTTCTTACTTGAATTTTTTTTATTTTAATGAATGTTCTGTGAATAATCAATATTAGCAATAAATAAGTATATAATTAATGTAATAAAAGAGTATTTAACAGTAGATGTTACAAATATAACAAAAAAAACTTGATGAATTGTCTTATTCTTTCTTCTGTTTTGCTTATCCCCTGTATTTATGTCTTAAGATGACCACATTTAGCGCTGGTACTTTTTGAAATGTATCCTCCATGTTAAGCAGGATTTTACTGTATTTACTTGTTGCTCTTGTAAACTGTACTTGTTTTATCCCTAAAAAAAAAAAAAAAAAAAAAAAAGTCTGTTAATATTGTTTTAGGGTGATAATGAGTGAGTCTGTGTGATGTATTATTCAGGTAGGTAGTCTTGGGGTAAGTCAGTTTTCAGGTTGATAGTAATAGTTCCTTGTTTATAGAATCCCTAAAAATTGTTTCTTCAGTTTGTATTGAACATTGTTGTTTACTTGTCTCAATGTGAACTTTAAGCATTCTGCTGACGTTCTGAAAGTTATGGCAGATATTGTAGGACCTGCTGTTTAAAGGGGAAGTTATTTTTTTTTTTTTAAATTTTGGGATAAATTTTATTTCTGCCACAAAATTTATCTATTCTATGAAATGTGATACCTGGCTTCTATTTAAAATCAGTGATAAGAAGTCATACATTCTGTGTATGTGATACCATTTATTTTTTGTTTTCTTCTTTAAAATAAAACTGGATTCAAATTTTGCTCTCTCCCTGTTGCCACCTCTCTTTTTTTAGGGAAGGGGATATGTACTGTATGTGTTTGTTTAATTTAGTTACAGAGAAGTTTTGTAATGAATCAGAACTATATGATAATTACTAAAAAAATGTATTTGTTAATTTACTATATGAAATATATTTGTTTAGTTTAGTTTACAATAAATTTAACATCCAGGCATAAAAACAAATTCCTGGAAATTTGGTTAGGAATAACTATAATCTTTATCTTCATGACTGTATATGTGTGTTTATATGTAATTTTTGCCCTACTAAAGTTTCAGATGTCTTAAAGGTATCATATTTCTGCCATTATCTAAAATACTATAAAAATCTACATTATGAATTCAAAGTTTTAGAAAGCTGATATAAGTATGAAGAATGAGTTAATCTATAGTGTTAACTTATGTTCATCAAGGACCTAATTTCCAAATTTTATATTGTACTGTCATACTTTTAAGTGCATCTACAGTGTTTTTTAGTAATGTTTTTAGCTTTCTTAAAAACTTGTTGCGCATTAGAAAAGTTTTGAGAAAACAGTAAGATAGTATAATTTTCAACTCTATAATTTCTTACTCGTTATTTTGTCTATCATCATGTCATGAAATGAATTTTTATCTAATGTTGAAATCTTATATTTCATATAGTGCATAAAATATTGTTTAATGGTCATATATTCATATTCTTATGTTATAATACATTATATAGCTTCCATGGAAAAGTTTAAAAAATGTGATAGAGTATTATTATATGTGGAAAACTACAGACCGGTATGTGCAACAAAAGAGGGTGAAAGCAGTCGAAGCTGAAAGCAAATTGAAACAAGTATACATTCCTAATTAGTGAGTATATTTACGTATTGTCTTGATCATTTGGGCTAGAGGGAAGTAAACAAATCAATTTGATGTGATATTTAGACATTTCATGCTGTTGCCAAATTTATACTTTTGACAAATGAAAAGTATTTTAAATTAATGTAACTAATTTAAGTAATTAATTAGTACCAAATATGTTAGTGTACTAGGTAAACACAGTCAAGTATCACTGAATCATATAACTAAATATTCTTAGATATTTTCACAGACTGTGATCAGTAAACACACTCTGTCCTACTATTCTGTCACTAATTTTTCTTTCTTTATTTTTATTCCTTTTTTCCTTATTTTTTAAGCTTATATATCTTCAAATAATACTATGTTGACTATTGCTGAAAATTTATATAATTAAAAACAGTATCTTCACTTTCACTGTAACACATCTTTAGATTTGGCAAACTGCCTTGTGCGTATAAATGGAGTTGTTGGTCGCAAGATTAAAGTCTGATCTTGATTGCATCATTTTTCTTGTTGTGATAGTGTAACCTGGCCTGTTGCTACCAGTGTACTCCATGGAGGAATAAAGATAGATCCAATTTCTTTGCTCCGAAGCTGTGTTGGGCTAAAACTCTTTGGGGCTATGCAGATCAGCCATTGTTCTAAAAGGCAGAATTCTTTATAAGGGTGCAGACACCTTTATGCAGATTCTGTTTTCGTTTATAGTACTTTAATTAATTAAGTTGGGAATGAAAGAAACCATCAACATCTTTATCAAGAATATGGATTTTTAGGGTGTCTGCACTCTAATGAGAAATGCTGGATTGGCATAAGGGTACCAGCATTTCTGTTTTGACTGCAGTGTGGAGGATTAAAATAATTTTTCATGTTATACTTTTTGACAGAAGTTTCAGGTAATTCAATAAATTGTACCTTTTTCACCAAAATGACAAACTGCTATACATATAATGGATAAAATATATATATACAGTACAAAGTCCGTAATCCGTATGTCCATGATACGGACTTCAAAGCCACAAACTTTTTTTTTTTTAATATGATTTACGCATACGCGTTAGGAGGATGTGTCTCTAGATACATTAAAAAGTGCTTGGCATAATTTATGGCCAGCTACCATATTTCATGTGAGGACGATGAAGATGATAGATGCGAATTTGGAGGTTTTCAGACATTGCAAATTAAAGGTGAAATTTTCCAGTGATTGGATTTTGTAAAGAAATGTGGAGAAGCGGTAATAAATCAAGATGATCAAGATGATATAATGGAAGTTTTTCATTGTGACGACAGTGCCCCAATCACCAATCAATTAACAGACGGCAAAATCAGTAGTATGGTTCTAGATCCAGAAAATACCACTTCTGATAGTGAAGAAAGTGACAGAGAGGTTATTGAAAATGAAAAATTTGCGATTGACAAGTTAGTCGGTATTCTCGACACAGCAGTTACAGAACATGAACAGTGGAATTTTGTAACTGAACAAGAAATTATGTTTGTTGATAGAATTAAAGAGAAAGTATTAGCACAAAAAACAAAGCAACTTAAACAACTTACATTGAAAGAAATGTCTAATAAAGTAAACAAATAAATGTTAAGCTTCTTTCTTTTTTTTTTTTTTTTTTTTTTTTTAGATCCCTTTTTACCTTTTAGATCATAATTGCTCTTTATTTCATAAATTACGGTTTCACATTTTTAACTGTATGATTTCTGTATGCCATCTTACCAGATTTAAATTGATGATCCATAATCCGGAAAAAACCCTAATTCGGAATCGCCAAAGTCCTGATGAGTCCAGATTACGGACTTTTTACTGTATAAGCTTAAAAATCTCTCTTTAAATTTCCCCCCTTTATTTTGAGCAGAGTCCAAAAAACAAAACATGTAAACACAAGCAGTCTAACACATGAAGAAAAATAACAAATGAAAATTTGATGCAAGAAAATAAAAAGAAGTGTTCTTAAATATGTAACATTATAGCAACAGTTGTTTTGAAATGAAAAATATATTAATTCAGCATGCCTAGTAACATAAGATTGAGGTTTAATCTAGCATGTGCTGAGTAAAGAAATTAGATTAACGACAAATTTTAAACTGGTTAACCTTTTGAAAATGGGACGTTGGCTGCTGGAAGAGGCTCGAAAGAATGGGAATCTTGAACCTTATGCTTTCCCTCCTTTAAGAAATCAGTCCCTTCTTGCCACAAAGATCCTTGTGTGTTGTTTAATGGATTCTCATTGGGGTGAATTTCTTACACAAAAAGAAGAGAAATATAGGGATTATTGACTACTTTTAGATGCTTTTGCCCAATGAGGGAAAATTTATATAATACAAAGAAATGCAAAGGCTCTTGAAAGAGATAAGTGGCTAAGACTCCAAGAACGTCAACTTCGACATTTCATCCCAATCTTTTAGCCTGGAAATGGGGGGGGGGAATAAACATGATTGCTAAAGTGGACAACCACATCTTTTCAAACAGGGAACACAACTGACAATATAGTGGCCACCCATCCCAAAAAGGTTAATAATATAAAAATAATTAGAAAAAACTTATTGTAACATGTTAACACATCTTAAGTGGGAAATTACTAAACTTATTTTGTGCATTTTGTTATTAAAGTCCAGGAAACAACTAACTTTTTTTATGCAAATTGTTATTAAAGCACGGGAGGTGACAAAACTCGTTTTCTATTAATTGTTGGTAGATTGTTGGTGTTGGTGGGTTTTTGAGTGACAAAATGATTTTTTATCCCAATAACTTGACTCTTCGTACAGTAAATTCTTAAAAATGAATGATGATGAAACAGCAGAGTTTGCAACTCTCCCGATTTAGGCGGGAGACCCCTGGTTTTCAGCCGTTCTCCCACCAAACCTGATTTACAACATATTTCTCATGACTTTCTCCTAACATTTTTCACAATCTTTATGTAGCTTGGCTTAATATGACGTTATTTGCCCCACCAAAAGAAATAAAGTGATTTGGGGCATCTGAAAGTACAAGTAACCCTCGTATAACACAGTAGATAGGTTCCTAGAAAATGCCATGTTGTACGAGACCCAGAGCTAGTATAAAAAAGGGGGTTGTGTTCCGAAAACTTATTAAAAACAAATGTTTTTAATTCTATATAAACAACTTAATTTGTATTAATCGTATATGTGTATGTGCGACACAAAACAAAAATTATTACCTATTTTAACACAACTTTAGTTTAATAAATTTCTTCGTTGTCACTGCTCAATATAATCAACAGAGAGCGGTGTTTTTTTTTTTTTTTTTTTTTTTTTTTTTTTCCCCAGTGGAATGAGATTGCTTTCATTTTCAGAATTTTTTCGTCATTTAACGTTCTGGGATTTTCTTCCCTCTTTAAAAATCTTTAATTTTATTTGATTATTAGTTGTTATCGAGCCAATGTAAATTTCTCAATATGGAAGTGACAGTTTTGCAGCTCCCTTTTGAATTCTCGCCTTATTTCAGCAGAAGAGTTTGTGCTCAATAAAAATTATTCAAAATTTTCAGCTAAGCTTAGGCCTTCTTTTATTTTTTTTAATGTTAAATATTTTAAACTGCACTATCTTCATCAATGCTAGTGTCCTCAGAATCAATTTGATTTATGGCTTCATATGCCATTTCCATCAAATCTGCTTTGTCAATTTCTTCTTCCGCTAATAAATCTTGAACGTTCTTAATAGCCATGTCGACAAAACCTTCGCCTCCGATTGATATAGCAAGTTTTAATAAGCCAACAGTTTCATTTTCTGTCGATTCATGCACTTTTTGTATTTCATCTGAAGAGGTATATCTGATCATTTAATATTGATGCTTTCAAAGACAAAGATAAGATATGTCGATATTGTGCTTGATTGAAAATGTCTTCCAAGCTTCTATTACCTTAACCTTTCAGCACATGCACATCACTACACTACATTGGTATACGCGTGGAACAAATTTTACCCCAGTGTTTGTTTTTCGGAGTTCACCCCTCAACGTATAAATAAATGCATTTTCTTTGTTTTAAATGAATGTATAAAGGACTAATAGCTCTGTGAATTCTGTTAAACCTTTTTCCCAGTTTTTATTCGAGATAATCTTACTTTAAGTTATACAAACATTTTCATACTGGTTACCTAAAGTAAGCCATAAAAATCGAAATTTATACAAAAATTACTAACTTATATAAGATACATATATGATTTCTTATATTAGAAAAATCAGTTTTCATATGCACATATTTTTTAAACATAAGTGTTTATTATAAAGAGTGGTTTGATAAAGCACTAGAGGAATATGAAAAGGCTTCATTCTTACTAGCTTTTTTCCTTAAAACTCAATATAATTTCATACAATTATTCATATCAAAGAATAGATTCTAAATGCGAATATTACAAAATATAAATAACACATAGGTTTCCCGCCTCCTCCTACCTGAGTTTAATTATTCAAATAATCTCGTTTTGAACAATCCTCACATAGTGTGGCAACATATTTTTACAAACAATTTCTTAGGGTGAAGGTCTGCTGCATCTTCTATTCCTGCCAACCTTTTTACTCCAGTTTTGAGTTCTTTCGAGAATGATAGAATTGCAGCCCTTTTTACGACGTGTTCTTTTATAAGCTCTAATGCTAAATCTTTGAGAAAAGCTCTTCGGTTCATATTCACGTGGTTGTTATTTGATTGATGAATAATAAAAGCATTTATACCTCCAATATTCATTATTTCAAAAAATACCATTAGAGGCCAGCGGCAGTATTTTTTTTAAACAGACTTAGTTCCACATAACTCATCAACAGTATAAACATCGCCTTTTGTAGAGTTGCAGAAAGTTATCATTTCGAGCTTGAGCTGCTCTATAGGCAATGTCTTTAGATTATCCTCATGCATGGATGATAGAACAAGAACCAATTTACTCTTTTTTGGAACATATGAAGTAAGAGTTAATTCTTTACATCTAAACCCAAAATGCGAAGAGTACAGAAACCTGTTTTATTTGGTAGAAATTCTTCTGAAATTTCATGCTTATCTTTTCGAAGTGTCTCAAAACATGTCAATTTGTGCTTTTTCATAATTCATTGGCCAAAGGAATGCTCATGTACCAGTTGTCCATAGTTATACAGTACAAAGTCTGTAATCCGGAATGATCTATAATCCGGACCTCAAAGCCACAAACTTTTTTGTATGCTTTACGCATGCACATACATTACGCGCCCTATACTTCCACAGTCACACCTTGGTTCTGTACTCTTAATAGGTATAGCGAGTGCTTTATTTTATGTGTTAGTACTTGAATAACCCTTATTCTTCGTATCTCGAACGCAGATTTTCTCATAAATTTTTAATTTCTCTTTGAATTCAAAAATAGTTTTACACCCATACAAAATAATTTTGTTACTACTTTGATCCGATATTCCCCTTGATTACATAATCAAGAATTGATGAATCATCAACAGAACTGCGACTGGCTATTTCACACATGGCAATTAAATATTCGGAAAGGGATTCACCAGCTTTTAAGTGTCATTTAAGTCCAGGCATAGTCTAAGTGAACTGCATTTTTTCTACTTAGCACAATATTACTTACGTAATCAGAATAGCTTGGCTTAATGATTTGTTTCTCTAACCATTCCGAAATCTGTTTATCAATTTCACGCAGCTCTGTGGGGGGGGGACATCGCAGCGCACAATGAATTGGAAGTTGATCCCTCAGCACTATCCTTATCTTCAGGGCAGATGTTTTTATTTTATTTGGCTTATAATTCCTTACTAAATGTAGTATTTAATCTCGAAGTACTCCTTTGATATGATTTAAATCAAATTCCTCGTCATTATAAATATCACGAATACACATCAAATAGTTTTCTGGTTGCGATTTTCTAGTTTCGACTATGCGTAATAATATGCTTTACGCATGCACGCGTCGAAAGAAATGTTTAATAAAGTAAACAAATAAATATTAAGCTTTTTTTTTTTTTTTTTTTTTTTTTTTTTTTTTTTTTTTTTTTTTGGTAAATTTTGGTACCCTTTAGATCATAATTGCTCTTTATTTCATAAATTACAGTTTCATAATTTTAATTGTATAATTTCTGCATGCCATCTTACCAGATTTAAATTGATGATCTATAATTCGGAAAAAAAACCTGATCCGGAATCTCCGAAGTCCCAACGAGTCCGGATTACAGACTTTGTACTGTATTTCTTTCAGTGCCACTTATGGGTGCAATAAGTCTTTGTACAACATCCAATGGTACATTTGATTATCTATATAGTCCGACAGGCTGCTGACCTGCATAAATTTCTAGGTTGTATGCGTAAAATGTATGAGAATCGCACAAAGCAAAAGTTTTTATTCCATATCTTGAGAGCTTACTTTTTATGTATTGTCTAAATTGACACATTTCTCAAAAGCTTTCTAATTTTTCATCTATAGTACAATATTCAGATGAATATATTTTTCGTGTGCTTTTGATAAATATTTCAAAAACATTTCTAATAAGTGCAATCCCATTGCACATTCCTTCCCCGAAAACACAAAATCCCAAGGACACAGGAAAAATTTCTCTGGACGTCCCCTTCCTAACCTTGATCTTGAAAGGTACATGAAGCACTAGAAAGGTCACGTACGACCTTCCCTTATTTTCTAAGAAAAGACTACACGTGGGATGAATTTTACCCCAGTGCTGACGGGTTACTTGATTTTGAATCGGTTACGTCTTCAATGCACTGTAATGCTCTTTTTATGCAATGTTTTAAAGGTATAAATAATACTTTGATCCAATGTTTGGAATAACAAAGTAGTGTTAGATGGTAGGAACAGTATTTTGATGTTGAAATGGTTCAAATTTTGTGGATGACATGGAGCATTATCTAATAGTAATATAGCCTTCAAGCTCAAATTTTTCTGCCTTAAATTACATTCAGCGTCTAGCACAAAACAATTTAAAAGCCAAGTTTTAGCTTCATAATCAACATCCTAGCAGCGTCATAATCAGCCAGTGCAAATTCTCCTTGAATTCTTATGCCATGAGTTGCAAGACACTTTTTGTAATTTTCAAACCAACCTTTACTTGCCAGAAAATCTGAGTTGACAGAGGATTGATTCTCCATGTTCTTTAACCCCTAAACTGCCGCGGGCGTATATATACGCCTTGCTCAGCCGATGCGTTAACTTTGCGAATACTTTTAGGTGTAGCAGCGCAAAGCAAATGATAGCAGTTTGGAAGGACGTATATATACGCCTGGGGCAGTTAACGCATCGGCTGAGCAAGGCGTATATATACGCCCGCGGCAGTTAAGGGGTTAAGGTGCTTGGAAATTTTGAGTGCTTTTTGTTTAATGATACTAACATTCAACAGAATTCTCTTTTGACAGCTATCATCAATCCAAATGCTGAGTGCCTTTTCTGTCTTCTAAATTATTGGTGCTGCGGGAGGGTGAACTGCACGTTTTGCGAATGTCAAAGATCCTGCAGCAACTGCATTTCTTATTCATTTTTCTTAATAGTCTGGACTGTTGCTTCATTCAAATTAAAACTTTTCCTAATGTGAGGCCTTTTCTCCTTTTAAACAATGGTCCAAAATTTGTACCGTTACTTCTGAAGTAATCTTTATTAGACATGTTTCGGGACTGAAACTTAATGTCTTAAAGATGAAAAAGTTATTCTTTAACACACCATGGCTAGACACACGCTGCCAACCAGCAGCATGAGACACTTTTGTTTTCAGGCCACAGAGATGAGGATTCAAATTTCGGAAGCTGAACGTGCAGGTACTGCGTTTTAGGGCACTTATTGTGACCTCATGTTGTTTACCTTCTGCGATACTGAGGTTTCTTCATTGTTATGTGGTGATTGATCATTAAATGTATTCAGATTGCTTGGGCAATTTTCTTATCATGTTAGAGAGAAACTGTGTTTTTGGAGGATTCTTGGTAATTTATGAATCGTGTTATGGTGAAATTGTGTTACAGAATGCCGTGTTGTAGGAGAGTTACCTGTACCTGCTTTTACATAGAAAACCAGAGTAGTTTCATCGGTGAGGAATTATGTCGCGCTTCTGCTTTGTGAGTAAGAGCACGTGTCCGAAAACATCGTGTTCTAGTTTCAAGTGAGCATGAAGTGCCACTGCGTGTTATCTGGCGTATACTAGCTAATGAGTGCAAAGCAAGATCGAGGTTGTTATTTCATTCATCTTGTCGCTGAATGATGTGTGTGCACATGCTTTTGAGAAATAGTTTAAGAAATTATGATCTTTTGTTTTAGTTATAATCTTAAAAGAGAAGAAGGAAAGAAAATAGTCGTGTACTTTTCAAAAATTGTACACAGATGAGTTTCTTTCTATTGTTTCCTCGAGGAAATGCAATATGTTTGCGATGTGTACTGTTTGTGATTACAATTTTTTTTATTTTGCACGGTGAAAGGACTAGTGTTCTCAAAAAGCGCATACACAAAAACACAAGGACAACAGGAGTTTAAAAACCTTTATTTTTGTTAATCTAGAAAAATAATTTGCTAACATTGAACTGAACTTGGATTTTTTCCTTTCTAGTAATCATCAATGTACATTTGTGCTGCTTTAGTTAATGTAAATATTTGGTATGTTTTAGTAACAATAAACCTGGTGTATTAAATGGAGCTAGTGCTGGTGAGAGTCCTTCAGCAAGCGGCAGGCCTTGTGAAAGTTGTTACAGTAAGTGTCTTAATTTCTTAAAGATGATAGACGATTTTTATTCAGGAGTGTTTTTTCTCTTGTGTATTTTGAGAAGTTTTACTTTTCCCAGAAATTATTTTACTGTAGTGAAAAATGTTTTTGTTAAACTGAAAAATCATACTAATAATTATATTTTTCATCAGCTCCCACATCTAGTCAGTGGTATGCATTTGGACCAGCTCATTTACAGTGTCGATTGTGTCAGTCTTGTTGGAATTATTTTAAGAGATTTGGAGGTTTGAAATATCCTACTCGTTTAGGTTAGTATGTATATATATATATATATATATATATATATATGTTAAAACTTCTACTGTTATGAATTTTTGTCTGTTTTTTTTTTTTTTTTTTTTTTTTTTTTTTTTTTTTTTTTTTTTTTGATAAAATAGAACTTAATTTATTCAATCTAATTTCATCTTTGCGTGATTTTGTTTCCCAAAATATTTTTAGAATCAGTGGATTTAATATCTGGTTCTAGTTCAGAGAGATTACAGCCCCATGTTGCTTCTCACAGACCCCATCGTTGTACCATATCTGGTTGTGGCAAGGTAACTTGCATTTACTCTTAACGTTTCGTAGTATGAATGTATTTGACTGTATGAAAATACATAGTTTTATGTGGCAGTAATTATAAATTCATTGAAAAAGTATTTTTAAATTTAATTTTGAAATATAGATACATGATAGCATTTGTTTTATAAGTTGAAATTAGCATAAGTTTTATTTGATTTGTTTAATCATAAGTAAATTTGAATTGTGAAAAAATTATCATTCTTTGTTATTTAGAGTTAGAAAAATAAAGATTCAAAATCCCTAACATGAAGAGAAATGCATACTGTTTGAAGTTTATTTGTTGAATGGAAACTGCAGAATTTTTTTTTTTTTTTTTTTTTTTTTTTTTTTTCTAAAATTAATAATTTACTCAGTAAGTTAAAAAGTGTAAGATAGGATCTTTAATTATGAAAAATTAGGTTGAATTACATGGTGGTTAGGAAAATAAGATATGATCTCTTCTAAAGAATTGAGGCTTAAATGAGGGGGGGGAATGGATTTTCATTGATGTCAGAGCAGTGGTTCTCAACCTATGCATCCCATCCCCCCCACATCTTCATTTCCAAAATTTGAAAAATATGCACATATTTATTTAAATTTAATTTCTTTTATAAATTAAAGCAAAAAATATAGAAAATATTGATAAATACTAACCTTGAGTAAAAGTAATTTTTTTATAAGCTTGAAATTAAATGGATAAATATAAGGCTGGTCTCATTCACTTCTTAAAACTATGAAATTCCCTCTGGTTGAGAATCCCTGATTTAGAACAAGTAGTTTAGCATTATATAATATTTTAATGTTTCTTCTTTCTCTTTTTAAATAAAAGCTTGTTTCAAAAGTATATGATATTGAATTGAAAATTTAAAACCCCATGAGATATTATTGCCTTTTGGTCTGCTACTCTGAATAGCAATAATGTATTAATGTAAATATTTCAGAAAATATGTTAAAATGAGTTATTTTTTATTTATTTATTTATTTTTTAGCCTCAAATAGGCTTCTCCTTTTCTAGGTTTCTACAAGCACGATTTTTACTTTTCTGTTTTGTTTGTCATGTAGATTAAGCAGTACTTCCTATTTTTCCATTTGTTTTCTTTATTTAATATGCTTATAAATTTTTTTAAGTAGTAATCAGTATTAAAATACAAAATTAGCCATCATGTTAAAAGTAAGAAATATATGTATGTGTGTATATATATATATATATAAAGAGGATGGATGTTCTTAAATGATTTTTTAGTTAAGGAAGCTTGATTGTTGTGTCTAATAGTCACTATAAGGTCAAGCTAACCATATGCTGGGTGTGTGTGTGTTTTTTTTTTTTTTTTTTTTTTTTTTTTTTTTTTCCCCCAAAATGAGTTAAATATTTTTAAGGTTACTTATTGCCACACATTAACTTTTTCGCACTGTCAGCATCAAAATCTATTCTGCCTAAACTTCTGAAACATCTGTATTTATGAATATCTGTTTGAAAGAAGCACTTTCTCTTGAGAAGAAACCTGCCAGAAATTTAACTGCTTGATCTTTAAATGAAGTGTCTGCTTTTCCATTGGATCCTTTATCATGTTATGCAACTTTTTAGTTTTGTTCTTCGTACAGTGAATTGCAATCATTTATAATATCAAGGCCAAGATGCAGAAAAGCAGCAAGAAATTGTTGATGCTAAAATAAAGAGAGGAAAAAATTTCCTCAGGTAAGAAATTCAGACAGTCAGGAAAGTGGGATTGACAACTCATTCTCCCAATCTGGAAAACTAATGAACTATGCATTATTAACTAACTAAGAGCAATAAGTCTGAATAGTCTGCAACTGATTGATTTTTGGATATATGGATGCTTCCATTGTGAAAAAGTTAATATGATGACTTTCTAATGCATGTTGTAATGTTTTTAGTGCCAGAAGTGCTATTAATCTTATTCTCATTTTACTTTTGTCCATATTTCTTTTCAAATAAAAATATTTTACCACCAAATGTTATCCCTATGTATTATTTTTAAAGAAATAATATAGTGAATGTGAAAAAATGGCATCACAAATAAAAGGGTGTTGCCACCAAATGTTATCACCATATAAATACTTTTAGAGATAAGATAGCGCATATAAAAAATGTATAGCATCACAAATAAAAGGATGAGTCCAAGAGCAGGTTGGTAAACTACTAACTCAGTGAAAGCATAAAGCTTCTGGCGTTAAAATCTGATTCCTTTCAGATTTTCTTTTATTATTTATTTATTGTTTCATTAATTACTGGATATTTTCAGGAATTCAAGCTTAAAGCCCATCTTGCTCGCCATTGTGCTACTGCTCATGGGCTTGTCATCAGAGCTGGTAGCCCGAGGCCAATAATGAAGACTAGAGCAGCATTTTATCTTCACACAACTCCTCTTACTAGAAAAGCACGGCGGTATGCAAGTCATTTGGTGAAGCCACGACATGCTGCTAGAAATCCGTTTCAACCTATCAATATATTGGCCATTAAACAGGAATGTATGATGTGTTTTGAAGTAATAAATGAATAAATATTGCTAAAAGTTTGATTTCATAATGAATAGTGTACAAAATCCAGTGAATTATGCATTATGAATTTAAATATTTCATCATATTGAAGAAACGTTACTCAGTATAATACCACCTGTTACTTTCTGTTTTTGCTTTACCATAGCTGTTTAAAATTCAGAATCTATTGTGACACATTTTCTATAGAAATTTTTAAGAAAATCATATTATTTTTCATAATTATATCTTTTTTTTTTTTTTTTTTTTAAATTTCTATGGAGGTTTTGTAATAGTATCAGTTGAAGAAATATATATTTAAAAAGTATGTTTCCTAAAACTTTGGACTGTTGTATTTGTGCAGTTTGGCTGAAAAGGACAATCAGTTGTCAGTTTTATTTTTAGACAGGTTGAAAAAATTGCATTAAAAAATTCAATAAATCATTTTTTAAATTCTTCAGTAAATATTGATGATGAGGATTTGTGTAATTGTCATTGCTGGAGGTTTTCTGTAATTGTCATTTTCATCAGTTCCAGGAATATTATCTAAAACCAAATTTTCATTTTATACCTGAGCTGATCCATTTTGGCACACTGTTCCTAACAGTTGAAATTGTTATATCTCTGTCTAAAGACATTTTCCCCTCCTTTTTACCTTGTTAGCAAAGAAACTCCTACAAAAAGGTTCATATTTCAATGTATATTGTAAAAAAGCTATGTTTATGTTTTCCTGATTATAAATATTTCATCAGTAGCAATACAGTGTTTTTCAAAATCAAGAGAGTAAGCAAATAGTGTGCTATAAACTTTAGTTGCTAATTCATTGATAAATTTTTCTGTATTTCAAAGGTCTTACATTTATGAGGTTAATAGAATACTGAACATTCTTAGGTACTAATTCAGAAAAAGGTACTTAGGTACTTTCTGATTATTTGAATTCCCATTTAAAAGTCATGAACCCATCAGTGACTTTAGAGAGAACTATTTGTTTGGGTATCCTTATGTTTATTTCAATGATGTATTCAGTGCAACTATGTTTTTACATTGTTCTTTTTCCATATAACATGCACCCTTGATTCCCCGCCACCATCATTGTTCTCCCCATGTACGCAGTAATCTGTTTTCGCTTAAAAAAAAGGGTAATTTTTCAGACACGGCATCGCCCTCTAACTAGATGCCTGCTAACACAAATTCTCTATAATTTCAATGAATTTTTCTTAAAAACTAAAGAAAAATAAGCTCCTTAGTGAAAGGGGGCAAGGGAAATGGTATGCAGAACGGTATCTTTGGTGATTGGCAAACTGCTCACGATGTGCCATGTGTTAAATAGCATAGTCTTAAATGATCTTGAAGATTAACCAGTTATAGTTCAGCAAATACTGACCCTTATCTTTCCAGTCAAGCATCCACACAATGAAGGCTTTGTTTACCCTGCAGGTCCCATTTGGTTATGTTATAGTGAGAAAATTTAGCACATGGTTTTGTGAGTTAATGATGAAACTGGAAGTTTTGTATGAAGTTCATGAATTATGCTGCCTCATATTAAGGGGCTAAAACTTTCAAGCCAGAAATTTAAAGAATCATTTTCTACAGAATTCACATGCATTAAAGCATCTAAAGTGTATGTAAATCAAGCATTTTGCACTAGCAACAGAGAATATTCATTTATGCTTAGTATAAAAGGTGACGTGTATTTTCTCAATGGCATAAAGAAATTAGTGCTGTAAAATCAAAAGAAATATTAAATTCATTGATGAAATTAATGTTATGAAACCAAATGCTGTTTAATATAATTCTTAAAGGAATGTAACCTTCCAGTTTTAGTTTCCAGGCTGTAGCAACTTTTAAATACAGTGTTTCTCTATATTGCCATAGCAAAAAAATACATCCTTCAAAGTAAAATTGGATAGTATTTGAACCAAATACTTAGGTATGAAAACCCTTTTAGCCATTTTCACTGAAAATATAAACATGTAGGGAAATGAAGAACTATGTTATAACACGAAAGATTATGTAATTCAGAATTTAAACTTACAAAACATGCTGTGTATAAATCTTTATTTTCTTAATTTATAAATAAATTATAAGTATTTTTTTAAATAATTTTATGTATATTTCTTGTTTCTGTGTAAAGTTTTTTTTTTTTTTTTAAATCGGAATACCGAAATCTCAGATATATGAGTTATGGATCACCTAGTAGTTGTTTGTGATTTAAAGTATTTCCTTCAGTAACATATTAGTAGATTTAGTGATATTTCTGTTTAAGTACCAAAATGAAAATTTCTAATTAAAAATATATATACCGTATTTACTATTAGGTATTAAGATAGAGGAAGTTTAATTTCTGAAAGTTGTAATTTTAGTAAGAACAATAATTGAAAAGTTTTTCATATATAAATTACTGGTATCTATTACATTTACTGAAAAGAAACATACATTTCAATAAGAATATACATGTGACCCTTGATTTTTGCACGTAATTGGTTGAATATTCAAAAGTAGAAGGATGTAAAAAAAAATTAAATTGTATTTAAAAATATTAATTTATCAATATATATATAAGTTCGTGATGCATGTTTAAGAGCTTTCAGGTATATATTCTTTTCTATAAACTTGTCATGAGTTAATTGAGTATCAACTGTTAATGGCATTCAGCCTACTTTTATATATGCATTTTTCTTAGCAGTTAAAGATGAAATATTTGTTTTACATTAATAGACTGTTGTGAAAAGGTAAAAAAAAAAAAAAAATATTTGCCTGCAATTCTTGACAAAGTGGAACATTTCTTTGCCAATACTCTGAAATAACTTGCTCAGAAATTAAGTAAAAGTGTTACAAGCAAGATAGCAACTTTATTAATTGACCTAGTGATGTTACAGCTGTCATAACATAAGGCCATAGGTGACATGGGCAGGCACCTAGAGCAGCGATTTTCAGAGAGCTCTAGCTAAGTTGTTCCCTTAAGTGACAACTAGATAGGAGTATGCTTTCAATTATTAATATGTTTCATTTATATGGAGCACTAGCCATACTGAAATTGCTAGAGCTGCCAGACTTGTCTAAAACCTCTACTCACTAAAACGATGTTCACAGCTTAAATCAAGACTATGGTTAATTCAAGGGTATTGGTAAAAACGAATAACCCATATCATAGTTAACAAAAAAATACTGTTCATCCTTTTCCTGTACTTTCACGCAATTTAATTTCTCCAGATTAATCAATATCCCTCCCAAAAAAAAAAAAAAAACCGCTGTAAATAATGAAACAATAAACATCAGAATTTAAATTATAAATAACAAAGAATAATATTTACAAAAGAATTTGAAATGTGTTCAAATTCACATAAAAAAATCTTAATTTAGAACATTTTGCTTTTTACTGCATAAATTTTTGGGATTATGTGTGTCTCTCAAATGTTGACACCATATGCTGTCACTGCTTTTATCAGAAGTTTTTTCCTTTTTATATTTTCTGACAGTTTTGTTTCATGCTGGTGATCTGTAATGGTATTTTTTCATCATTCTACCATAAGCAAATTTGTTTTTTAATTGGACCCACTTTATTCATCTCTGGTTAATCAGGAAATGACTGTATTTAAGAAATTCCTTATAACGTATTCAGTTATTTATTTTTACGATTCTCAATTCAATAGCTCCTAGAAATGATTTTTGATGAGCTCATTTTCCTCAAACTTCATTTCTGTGTTTTTATCTGTATGTTTCTTTTGATCACTAGTATGGCAACAACTGCTCTCAGAACCTGATTCATTTTTGGGCAGCCTATTTATTCCCTTCTTAATTATTGTGTTTTATAATTTCATTTGTATATTTCTGTTAAATGTATGGCATTTCTTTTGCAAACAAAATCAGTTTTGTAATTATATCAAATGAAGTCACGTATCATTTGTACTTTTAGTGATTAAATAATGACATGAATCCAGAAACAGCAGAAAGTGAAGCAGCCTATTGTTTAAAGAATTTGACTAAAACAAAAAGTCCCATGTCTTTGTTTAGAGAGATATTCAGAATCCCCCCCCCTTTTTTTTTTACACAAAGTTGAATCACTTGCATTTGCAAGATCATGTTCACTCATCCAATGTTAGGTAAAATAAATAATTTTATGCATCACAAAAACATACTAACATAACTCAAAATATTCAATTTGATTCGTACAAATGACATAAAAAAGCAACAGCTATAAATTTTTTACTTATCACCTGAAAAAACATTTAAATATATAAAATAAAAAAATAAACTATATCACAGAATCAAACTTTTCTTACAGCATTATTTATGTGAATGTTATGATCAATTAAATCATTGACACAAACACTACAAAAAGCTCCAAAATTTTAATACTGTCCAACTTTCCTTCTAATTTTTAACGGAAATACAGTTAATAAAATTAGAATTTAGAGAATGACAAAACATTATACATGCCCCAAAATCAACTTTAAAGGACAACTTGGCTGATTTCTTTCTCCTTTTCCAACGAAGGCCTTTTTTGTACTTTTCACTACAATTTTGAACATCAGCAAAGCTCTGTAATTTCAATTCACAATCATGAATCACGATCGCAAGAAAAGCACGCATACCCAACTAGCATAATCATAAGGTAGTAGTCCAGTGTCTCACGCAAATGTTCTTCATGAACATCCGACTGCTAATTTACACCCAACTTGCTACCTACAATTAAGCAGAAGGGCTACACTTAGAAATTCATTATTTGTTTCACTGATTCTAACCAGATTTACTCTCAGCATCAATGCAATGCAGGTGGTGCTTGACTTTCATACATAATTGGTTTCTAAAAATGTATGCTGATGTTGAATGTTCGAAAGTAAAGGGATTAACCCTTTGATGGTTAGGGAAATGAGCAGTTTTCGTTTACCTAATTAGCGCAGTAAGTTAGTTATGAGTAAACAGTAGTCGAAAGTGGCAGCTGTTTCCCCTCCCCACTGCCATTCTTCCGAAAATGTCACCCTTCTCTGGCA